TAGCCGAATGACAAGAATCTTCAATGGCATCCCTACTTATATCATAAAAGTACAACTGGATTCGAAATGTTTTGCTCATTAATCAGATTATTTCTATTTTTACATTTGTTCTTATAAATATATAAATAAGCTGATTAATGAGCAAGTAAATTTCGACTAAGTTATACTTATTGAAATATACTGACCGGTACTTCCAATAGCCAATCAGATATTAGTAGGGACGCCATTCAAGATACTTGTATGGCAAGATTCTGTATACAGGTAATATAATATAACACCAAAAGCACCGAGTTGACCTAGAAAAAAAATCATAAATGGCTTAAACCATCTACCAATATAATGTTTAATGTAAAATAAACTTATGGAATGTTAAGATATTAAATCTACAACAAACCTTTTTTTTTGTTAATAAGTTTAATTTAAATTATCCATATAAATTATTATTTTGATAAAAAATATGTTTTTTTGAATTTGAATTTACTTTTAGAATTATTTTAATTGAAAAAATATGACAAATTTACATGTTAGTTAGTAACCAAGACTAATCAAAACTTGGGAACAATATCATAGCAGACAACTGTTCAACACCACTACATAGCCTTACCAAGTTTATGGTAATAACTTAGAATTGTTCATTAACACAACAACTGGTCTGACACGCCACTATTGGCAGAACCCAACTTTGATTGCTTTCATTTGAATATTATTCCTAGTTCGGGAATAATATCTGAAGAATATTATTCTATTGTGTTGAAGTAAAAGTAACGAAATCATTTTGTTCTGGTTTTTAAACCGGAATTCTTCTTTTAAATACTAAAAATATTCCATCTTAATAATTTGTGATGACATAATTAATTTACATGTGTGTATGTAAAGTATAATTTCATTATTTTAATATTAGAGTTATATGTAAAATAAGTTATTAAATTAAGCATAAGCTACTTTTATTTACTTATTTGATTTTTTACCAATAACAGTTATTATTGGTGCTGTACATATTACGTTAAGTTAAGGAACCTAAATATTTTTTTTCAATTGAAGAACAACAATTATTTCTTATAACAGTTTTTTAAGAGTGTAATAATATGTAAATCTACATGTCATTTTCTCTGTAAAAACATCATTGGCTAAATACACCGGATATTCAACTTAGTATTTTTGGATCTTGTCATAAATGCATTTATCGTTATACTGTAGCAAAAACTGCAGTTTTAAATACATGCGTTGTGGGTCTAAAGCAGCTCTTTTTCTCTCTAGGGAGTAAAAACATGTTTTTAGTCCCTAGGAAGTAAAAATCAGTTGTTAATTTCGATTGCAAACAATCTTATGTATCAAAATTAATCGGCTGTAGCTTATTGTTGACTTCTTGTCAATAGTTAGACATACCGATGGTATAATGTACAATACTACAACCATAATAGACGAAATAATTGAATCAGTCACTAAACAACCACTTGTTGGTATTAGGAAAATTGAAAAACATTTGGAAGTCATTTTAAAATGTTATCTTTACTTGAAAAGCATTTTAGTGTTGTTACTTAATGTAATTATATAATCTTGCAATATGTAGTTATTGCTGACTTAAAATATAGTTAATCACATTGGCAAAAAGAGTCTTTTCAATCCTCCCTCATTTTCCAACCTCGCCTGTACCCTAAAGCTTGACCTCAGGTCGAAAAGATTCACAACACTCCAGTATGATGATATGTACTATTTCATCACTCCGTCCAGAAATTTGGTATTTTCAGTGCCAGCTATCACAATTCGATGAATTAAGAGCAAGGAAAACAATCAGCTGATACCATTGGTCTTAGTTTATTTTCCCTTGCCCTCAATCAGTTTTCCATTTACCCATGATGCGCTAAAGTTTATTATTTAATTTCACGATTTTAAACGTGGGTTATTGTTTAATTTATGTGAACATAAATAGTCATAGGATATTTTGGCTGCATGTTTTGCATTGTGCGTGCTTAATGCGTGAAAAAACAACCCAAAACTTAAATTTACGATGTAATGTAGGTTTGTTTATAGCCCATTTGCTTTTTAATAAATGCCATTTTGAAACCAAATATAAAAAAAATTGTTTTCTCAAAATAGGTTTTTGTGTTAGTTATTTATTCACCAAATTTGGATTCATTATACAACGCCGTTATCAAATACAAAATCTAAATAGAGTTCGGGGACATTCTAAATACTAATTCAAATACTATTAATTATTTTAAGTATGCGTAAAATAAATACGTTCTACCATTTTATGGCCCAAATTAATTTTAAAACTTTTATAGCAAAAAGGATAGTAAATAGAAGACTCCAAGCTATAAAAGGTTTACGGTAATTTATCGAATTAATTTATGCCTCATAAACCTTGATTGGAATTCAATTCGTTTATAAGTGAGAGAGGGTAATATTCTTAGTCTCTTTCACGATACAAAACAATCTTGATGACTTCTGAATAAATAACAAACTTAGAACTGACACAAAGAGCCTAATTGCATTTCAAATTAGTCTCCAGAGACAAATCTTCATAAACAAATCTGAATTATAGGAAAGTTTAATGCTCTTCTATTTCTTTTGTTGAAGAAACAGAAAACGTTTCTTAATCTGTAGCGTAATTTATCCAGGTCGAAATACACGGAATATATGTTTAACATTACATATTTCCAATCAATTCATTGGGATTTGTTAGCCATGCAGTCCTAATATTGTTGGATCTTATAAAACTAATAATTAAACGCTAAATTATACTTGCGGATTAAGTGTATTCCTAAAATTATACTAAAGGAAAAACACTATCAGTAATGTTTTTTTTCAAACTGTTTGTCAATATAAATTAATGCAATATTAAATAGTTACTCGTTGTGTTGCTGTCAAACTTGACTGAGTTCATTGTGAGCTGTTTTCGCACCACTTTTATCTAGGCTTTTGGTTACAGTGAAAAACTACAACGATATGAATTTATTCAAAAACCAAAACCAAAATTCAATTTACCTAAAATATAAGTAAAACAACGAAGAATGTTTTATGATAAATTTTATTATTCTTTTACTATAATGTAAAAAAAAATTATACCTTTCCAAGTTGTCATCTGTAAAGTTTGTACTAAGTCATAAATCTGTTTCATAATTGCTGGAAAATCTTTGGCTTCCCTCAAATTAATAATCAGACGATACTAGATCAGGACGTTGAAACGTAAGTCTCAAGGAAGGATACACAAATCTTCATTGAAGTGAATAATGCATCGATGAGAAAGGTGAAACATAAATAACCCTACCTTCCATTCTTACTGTGGGGAATCGTAAAATATCTTACATTACCTTGTACAAGCGATGTATTGACAACAATACCCCCCCCCCCCCAGCTGTAAACCTGCAGACTAAGCGAATTTTCACTCGTGCATTAGGCCTAATGAGCACCTAGGTTTGCTGATACAGGGAGGATAATACAGTTTTTTTTCATATTAATAATTTAGTATAAAATAAATAAATTTGCCAAGTTTCATAAAAAATATATCTGTAAGTGACCAAACTACAATTTAGTCTACTAAATTATTTGTTTTTAAGCTCTACAAAACTATTTGGATAGAAATTTCTAAATTCTATGTTTTAAGGGAATTATAGGAAAACCCTAATTTCACCCCATAAAACCCCGTTGCCATAGTCCAATCATGTTAGTCCGAAAACTCATTCAAGTTTATCCTGCTTAAGCCAAATTTCATCAAAGTTGGAAAAGAAACTCAAGCTTGAACGCGATGTTCATTTAGAAATTTTTATTTACTCATTTCATCATTAATCAGTTAAATTACAAAAAGGCAACTTTTTGTACACTGTGGTGAGATTTTTACTGTTGTATAAAAAAAATCATATAATCTTCAGTGACATATGTAAATGATAAATTTACAGACCTAAAATGAAATTTTCAAGAACAAAATGTAATGTAAATAATAAAGGAATTGATGGATTACAGACTCAGTTGAACATAATTACATGCACGAACAAGCACATAAAATACAATAAAAGGACTAACATAATTATAGAGGAAAACATGGCACAATGAATACTTATTTTTTACAGGACACATGCAGAATCTTTAGACTCAACTGGAGAAAAGCTAACTTTCGAATCCGTGAACACTTTCGAAAAACAGGTCAAAATGAGATGTCGCTTTATTGCCCAGTCTTACGAATGAAGTGAGATATATTACTTATATTATTATATATTATTTAGTAGTCTTTAGAAGACTACTGGCGACTTTAGTAGTTGGTAGGGTGATGATGGCAAAGTTTGCATGTTGTGGGTGATATTATATGATATAGTATCTTAAAGTGAGCATTTGGTATGGTAAAAAAGTATCGTCATTTGAAAAAAGATTTTTAATCGGAGACAATTTATTTGGTTTAAATTGAATGAAATGTATTTAATTAATAACGTAAATTTTACTTTTCAGAAAAAAAATATATAAGCAGCTGTCAATATAACTAGCCTTTTTTAAATGAAAAATTTATGGTTACCATCAGTTTTATAGAAACTAAAATGAATAGCAAACATTTCCGTTCTGGCTTAAATTGAATGCAAAGGTTACCATCCATAAAAGGTGGATTGGCTCAGATTTCAACATCGTAAAAACTTTACTGAAACTTCTCTGCGGATAAGAAAATGCATATCGTAGTTAATAAAACTGCTATGGAAAATATAATTAAAATAATTATACTTGTAAAACCTTATCATTTTGGCCACACGTTCGGAAACTACGTCTAGGTAAACAAATAAACCTTTACGTTGTTGGTGTACAAGGACGGTTGTTATATAATTTCGTGCTACTAACACTCAATTATGAATGAAGCTAACAAAACATCTACTCGATGTGACATAAGTTATTGTTGTACGGTTTACACTTGTCAACTTCAGATAACGTTTGTTTATCTGGCTTATTTTACGTTACAACAAAGCCTATCTAGAGAAGATCCTATCTTGTCAGTTCACAGACACTCGCCATCTCTCACGATGGATTTAGAAAACACATTCTACTTTCATCTGATATTCCTGGTGGTCATGGTAAGTTCAATCAGACCAAATTGACTATGTTTCCTAATAGATATAAATAAACTTAGGCTATTATATAATAAATAGTAATCAATTCTTGCAATAGAAAAATTAAGAACGTTATAAATTTACACTAATAGTTCATATTTTACTGAAAACCTCATGCTTGTTTATTGGTCACATAAGAAAAAAGTCGATACCGTGTATTAATTACAACTACTATAATGTGATGAAAATTGAAATGTACTTTAACAGTGCATTGGCTTAAATAAATGGTGATTTAATCCTAATGAAAAATGGTAAACGGGGCCAAAGTACAACATATAGTATTAAACCTCTACAGTTAAAATCAAAACTAATAAAACATCCATCAAGACTGTGCCAAATTATCTGTGATATAGTTTAAATTTAACATGAATTTGAATGTATTACATATTTGTTGTTAAAAAACAGTGAATGTTCACTCAATCACCTGCCTATATTGATGCTATTCTATTAATACTTAGCTAAGCTATTTGTTTATAGTACATCTTGTTCTATGGAATAATTGTGTGCTTAAGACTGGCTTAAAGTGACGAGAATGTAAGGCTACCACACTTGATTCTATGAGTTAAAATCGTTTGATAAAAAAAGTTAAGTTAGAAAAAGCTACCACTAAAATATACTATTTATGCTGATGGGAATAGCTAAGGTGGCCAAGGACATTGAAATACACTTCATCAAGCAAATGGGGTTTTCACTGATAAATTCAAACGAACATTTTGGTAAAACAATTTTCCATATATTAGACGTTTCATTGATCGGTTGAACTAGCTTAATAAACCAAATACGTGTTTTCAGGTGGGGATGAGCCAAGAGAGAAGTCTACCACTAGATCACCGTAAACAGTTTTACCCTGTTCATCTTTCTTGGGAAACGCAAGGATGGTATTCTACGGAAGATTACCCATACTCGATACAGTCAGAAGAACCAGCGTGGCCTTCAGAGACACCTTACACGGATTACCCAGAGTACTCAACATATCCTACAGAGACTACAACAATGAATCCACCTGAGACGACAACAATAATACTAACCACTTCAGAGGCGCCAACTACAACAGCAATCCCTTCATCAACTGAGCCACCAAAATCAACATCGATAACCCATTCGTCATCTAAGGCACCTACATCAACTACAACACCTAGTCCTTCATCAACTAAGCCACCTACATCAACTACAACACCTATTTCTTCATCAACTGAGCCACCCACAACACCTAGTCCCTCATCAACCGACGCCCCTACAACAACTACAACACCTAGTCCTTCATCAACTAAGCCACCTACAACACCTAGTTCCTTATCAACTAAGCCACCTACAACACCTAGTTCCTTATCAACTGAGCCACATACAGCAACTACAACACCTAGTCCTTTATCAACTGAGCCACCTACATCACCTAGTCCTTCATCAACTAAGCCACCTACAACACCTAGTTCCTTATCAACTGAGCCACATACAACAACTACAACACCTAGTCCCTTGACTACCACCACAGCCCCTAGAACAACGTCAACAACAACCATAATACCGCCGCTTTCTAGTACCACAGATATTTCAACAGATGTGTTTACCACAGAAGGACCTACCACTCTAGTTTCATCGACGGAAGGTGATTCAACACCAGCTTTTACAACAGAACAACGTTTTATCTAAACAAAAAAAATATTCCACTCATTCGTTCCCGTAATAGTTCTATGTAGTAATAAAAGTAAATCTACGAATATGTCAATACCAGTGTATGCAAAGTTGACGGGCTCAAGTCATTCAGCCCAGGTAAGTTTTATTGTTTACAACTGCTTGGTTACATTATTGAAAAATAATCTAAAGTAGGCATAAGTAAACAGGAAATTGTTAATGCAACAATCTTACTCATGTAAGTTGTCTATTGTTACAACAATAGAATCTTAAAAGGTTGAAATATTTAAATTACCAGAGAAAAACCTAGGTTTGTGCTGTAAATGTTTCTGACAGGTTCTAAAAAAAATGGATTTGTTTTATTAACACTTAGTTTAATTGAGGAACTTTTTTATGACTAAGCAATAAACCGAAAGAAATAATGAAAATGCAATGGGATTTACTCTGTAGTATGTTTTCTCAAGATTCACGTAAGATTCAGTATGATAAAGTTAAAAAGAATTATTTTGTAATACGAAAAGGTTAAATGGTAATTTTAAGTTAGGCATAAATATTCTAGTGGTTTTTTATATTTTTCAACCAAAAGTATTTTATAGTATACTTTACCAGACCTAATGTTAAATATTTTATACATTTTGTTTCTGCTAGTATCTTTATCACTAATATTTACGATCTCTCAAATAAACTCAGTTACTAGCATACCGACAGGGAACCTCTACGCAATTGGTTGTGGTTGTTAGCTGTGTATTTAAATAAAAATAAGATAAACAACCATTATTTCCTAGCATTCTCTTGGTTCTACGTTAAATAGAAGGTTTTTTTAACATAGTAAATAAAGAATATTATGCTGAGTTTAGGCTATAATGTAGGTAGGGTTTTATTTCTTTGGATTTCCTACCTCTGTAATGTACTTCTGTTCCTTGTGTAGTATTTTTGTGAGTAGTTTGTAAAAATAAAATCATTAAAATCATGTTTCGTTTATGTTTATTAATTAGCATTTTGAAAAACATTGGTACAGTACTAAAAAATATCTTTCTAGTTACACTACAAGAAAATGTTAAATTTAACATTAGTATAGTTATGATGAAAGAATATTCAACTGTTCTCAGAGAAAAAAAATGTCATCACAAAACATCTCTTAAGTTGGAAAAGAACTAAAACCTTCCGTTGTAACATGACAGTTTATTGACATTGCCAGGTATCTCACGAAACGAAATTCTTACTTCCCAGAAAGCTGATTAAAAAGGTTTGGCCCAAACACAGAAATTACTCTTTGACTGTGTTCAACTACACTTTCAAAGAATAAAACAATGATGTTGCTAACAAAAATCAAAATGTAATGTCCGTTGAAATAAAATACAACGAAGACAATTATTGTTTTCTGAATAATATAATGATAGTATATAGAAGTATATAAAAGATATCAAAATATAATTCATAACTAATTTACTCTAGGTTGAAAATTTTCCACTGATCATACAACAGAATATATATTAATATAGAAGTAGGTGTATGGTGACGAAATGTTTGTTAAGCCACCGTTGACTGTAGTACAAAGTTTGATGAAAACATGCGTGTCATTATTTACATATCACTTAAGACTATAATAGCCTTATTTGATTTATCTGACTTTATATTTGATAACAATTTCTCACGACAAGTGTTCTCTCTAGATAACACTTTTGTAGAGAAGAAAGCATTATTTGTCATGATGTCAAATTATTTAACTTTTAAAACATAAACTTCTGTCTTATTTTATGCTTACCATATCATAAAAACGTATTATGAATAATAGTACAATGAATTGTCTTATATTATAACAAGTAGCTAAGGATGCCCTTTAGTACTGTTGATATTATTTAAGGTCTTGTTTGTATGTAAAAAAGAGCAAATTGAGTTTACACATTAATTGAGTTAACACCACACACTTTACAAATGTTGAGAGGGTAAAACATAGTTGATGCTTAGTTTAAAAATTTAGTTTTACTAACACTTTTAAAAGTCAAATTTTAATCAGACATTTAACCTACTTTAAGTTTGACTATGATTTATATTGAAGTTCAAATCATCAATTGAATGTGAATTAGAGGATACACAAAAAATATTGCATTTTATAATTTTCAACAACAAATGACAAGGGCCATAGATTATAAAGTATTGATTTACTATCCATATGCTATATTATTTAAATGGGAGTGTGCCTCAAGAACATGCAGTACTGTTTAAATACAAGTGCTAAATGTTTAATGAAACTATAACAAATGTGTGTCTTTGTTATAAACGTCCCAAAACAAGTGTAATATTATAAAATAATAATAATGGTAATGATAACAGATTGTTATTTATTATTTGACATGTACAAATACTAATGAGCATGTTAAAATTATAATGTATCATTTTTATATTATACATTTGTTAGAAGTAAAATATTGGTAAACTCTAAGCAAAAGTTCTTTGGTCCATTTATGTATTCTAGATTTACAGCTAGGAAACAAATAGAACAAACCCGGGGATTGATTTTTAACTGTGTCAAAAACTGTCCTAATCAATATTTGATTTACTTTTTGACGCTAAAGCTGCTGGCATTTTAAAGTGCTATTGTAGTGCAATTTCACATTAGAAGAAACCACATAAAATTCTCTGATACGAAATATACCAACTGTTTGTATAACTCTTATTTAAGTCTATTACACATTTTGATAACGCGTTAACTCTCTGCGGAGTCTTTCTGATTGTAATGTTTTATAACATAAAATTTCTTTGTAAAAACTATTTATTGACGCAGTATATTGCCTTACACTTATAAACCTTAAAGTAAATTCAATTTAATTTTAATTTTGAGAAACCTAAGAATGCCTCATAGCTAACCATAAAACATGAATCCGTTGTTTTTTGGTCATAAGTACAATATAAGCAGTAATGCTGCTTAAAAGTGAATATGAAATAAAATGAAATAAAAAGCATTGACGCCTTGGTAGGTCTGGATATGAGTTAAGATTAATGCTGGCATGACATACCACGGAGTAGAAAACCACAAACCACAAACCTAAAACCACATCTCGAGACCAAAGTAAGACCCTTTACTACCACCACAATGGTATCTTTCCATCGACAAACCACTTATCTAATTTATATACGTACATAGAATCCCCCCACAGCAAACCTGCAGATTATACGAATTTCCATTTGATGGTTTCGCTTTCAATTAAATCTATTTCAATGACATTAATTTTAACAAGTGCGACCGAAAAAGTAAATCGGTTCCGGGTCCAGGTGTTACTCACGGTAATAGCTTATACCGTTTTGGGGTTACTCACTAAAACTGAACAATTTAGTGGTGTAGTGAACGAATAGTATGAGATTATAAACCTATGAAACATATTCCTTACTTTTATGTCTCAAAAGATGTTTTTGAACTATAACGAGAAGATTTTTGTTTTAGATTAAGGAAATCAACATCCTCAGACGAATTGGTGAAAGAAACTTCAATAATTGAGGTAAAGGGTACATTTGCAGTATCCCGGATATCGATCAGCTGATTTCCCGTAGGAGATGTTCCACACTCACAGCTGTCCAATCAGCTGACAGACGTCCCTTTGTAGTTGGGAGGTTTAAAGTTAAACCCGTCGAACATATAAGGAAGATTTGATTTCTCTTTGAGCAATTACGTATTTTAAATAACAATAGCGGATTGCACTAATCAGCATTAGACTTGGTTACTAACAGTATTGTACTTAAGAAACATCTACTTTACTAAAGAAAATTGCCTTTAAAAGCTGTTAATTCAATTGCAATTTGTTAATGTTTCAATTTTTTAGGTTCCATCCTTCTTTACTCTGACCCGCCGATATTTTTGCAGAGCCTCTTTTGTCCAATGTAATACGCTATTACTTCCACACAACTACTGTAACATAGTGAATAATAAGTACCGTTAAAAGTACTAACTTCTGTATTAGTATATTAAACGGTTCTAGGGGATATTTTCGGTAAACATATCAATTTACAATTAAGTTTCCTGTTTATTTACATACGTCAAACGTGCAGATAGAGCAATTAAAGACACTGGAAATTATATAATAAGCTGGATATAAGAGAGGAATGTCATGGACCATCATGTTGATGGGACATCATGAACATGACACTATGTATCTCATATATCATCATATCCACTCTACAGTAGATGATTGTGACATACGTTGGACAGTATGACGTGTCATGTGTCTAAACATTGTTGAATAAAACTGTATGGTATTAGTGTACTAATGACGTAAGCCTATAATAAATACTATTCAATCTTGAAAAGTAATTTTTTGGCTATAATTAATTACTGTTATTTTATAAAAACTCACGAAGATAGTATTTAAAGTCAAAAAATTCTTTTTTGTTAAGCACTATAAATTTATAAAAGATTATAGGTTTTATATATAACTATAAACTTATAAATAACTACGGTTATAAAATCGTATTATGAATAAGCTGTAAAATCTATGACGGTTAGTAAGATTATAGTTTTATAGTAAGTTTTGTAGCAAAATATGTAATTTTATTTTATTTGCTTTAAACCTATACGAAAGATGAGTAGGTTATGGGTATGTGTAAGATGTCTAATTTAGCTTTGATACTGTCTTTGAATTGCTGTTATTCTAGCTAATACAATTTACGGAAAGTAAATAAAAGAAACGTCTTATAACACTTAAAACATATATTTACGCGTATACTGTTACTCACAAGACGGTAAATATATAAACAAAATAGTAAGTGGTGATCGATTTCGATTGAACACTCCAATCATCATCAGACCCAATAGGTGAATGAAAAATGATGTAAATTATAATTATGTAAATCTGCGTACCGTTTTGTAACATTTGTAAGCAAGAAGCGCATACGATGTTGATATTCTGTATCAAACTCTCTCGGCATATAATTATTTCATGTAAATTTTGCAATTGCAAACGTAATACTAAACACTACCGGTCATTATGCCATGAGTTACCAAGCTCAAATTTTGTAATAATGTA